TTTTTTTTTTTTTTTTTTCTCCTCCTTATTTCAAAAAGACAGCTTTAAAGTGACCTTAAAAGTCCCACCTCACTTATAGTAGATTAGTTGGATCAATGACACCACAAGACAGGGTTCGAAAAAACGGGAAGTGGGGGTCTTCAATTTTAATGCCATTTTAATAATTGACACTGGCCTAATATGAAAGCCCGAATACATAATTGTCTAACCTTTCAGAGTATTTCCCTGCCTTGTGCCTCATTTTAATTCACTTATTCCCCAGAATCTTGTTCCATCATCATTTAAAAAAGAGCTGTGAAGTTTCTAAGAAGTAACGTTTACCTGGATTTCTTAAAAGGCTGTTTTTCCTCCTCTGCCTCCCTCTGCATGCACTGCCATCAGCTGTGCACTGATGCTACTGTTCCCAACATTGTTGCGTAGCTCTCCAGAGTACTCGGAATAGAGAAACTAGGGTGACGAAATTGAAACACCGTTTGTTAGCCAAAACGACTTGTAAGGCTGCACGCGCCGGTGGGCTCAAGCCTGTAAATCGCCGCACTTTGGGAGGCAGCGGGCGGATCACCAAGCAGGCAAGAGATCTAGACGCCATCCTGGCTAACACTGGTGAAACCCACCGTCCTTAGTAAAATAAATACCAAAAAAAAAAAAAAAAAAAAAAAACCGGGCGCACGGTGGCGGGCACTGCCAGTCCCGGCTTACTCGGGAGCTGGCAGGAGCAAGGGCGCAAAACCCGGGAGCGGAGCTTGGAGTGGCGGACGATCACACCACTGCACTCCAGCCCTGGGCCGACTCGAGCCACGACTTCCATCTTCAAAAAAAAAAAAAAAAAAGAAAAGAAAAGACTTGTAAGGCTACATCACAGAAGCTCTATTTCCTATAGTTGAGTTAGTTGATAATGGGTGGTGATTTTAGTCCTGAACTGAACGGGGAGCAGGGGAATAAAAATGTAATGTTGATTCTGTGGGCTGATTTGAATAGGTTTGTACTGATCTTTTTTGCCATTTTACACAGAGCAGTTGTTGCTTCCTAGAAAATGTTGTTGAACAAATAAGGTGAATATAAACTAGATTAATGTATTAGGATGGAGTAACTGCCAATAAAATGGCAGTTTTTTAACTTTGGTTTCACTGAGTAGTCTTCTGGGCTAAACAGTTTTGTTTGTTTTAAACAATACTAAGAAGCCATTTACATATATGCTTAAAATAGGTTTTTTTCCTATTTCAAATACAAAAAAAATTATATTTTTCTTAAAACAAATGAAATTATGGCTTTTACAACTTCATTATGAGCAGATGATCTTTGACCAGTGTCCTTTATTTGGTACCTTGAAATGAATTTTGAATATGACTTTCTAATAGGTTTTGTAGTCTGTATTCAAGCATGGCTGTATTTCTTGATATCTCAGAATAATTTATACATAGATAATTTCTTTTTTGTTTCATTTTTTTTGAGACGAAGTCTCACTCTGTGGCCCAGGCTGGAGTGCAGTGACATGATCTTGGCTCACTGCAACCTCTGCCTCCCGGGCTCAAGTGATTCTCCTACCTCAGCCTCCCAAGTAGCTGGGATTACAGGCTGACACCACTTTGCCCAAGTAGTTTTCTATTTTTAGTAGAGACGGGGTTTCACCATGTTGATCAGGCTGGTCTCAAACTCCTGACCTCAGGTGATCCACCCACCTTGGCCTCTCAAAGTGCTGGGATTATAGGCGTGAGCCACCACACCTAGCCTAATAATTTATTAACTCATGAATAGTAGCCTTAAGAGAAAACGATTTAAGTTTTACTTTATATTGAAGAAGACAGCATTTAAAAAAATCTCAATATTTTCCTTTCTTTCCTTAATGCTTTTTAATTTCCATTTTCATTTTTCTAGGGTGACATACCTTCTGTTGAATACCTTTTACAAAATGGAAGTGATCCAAATGTTAAAGACCATGCTGGATGGACACCATTGGTAGTTGTCTGGTTTTTATTCTCATTCTTTTTATGTTTTACAGTTATTATAGTTTATAGTTACGTAGTTGTCTATATATCATCCTTTGCCACATACCCTCTTTTTAGTGTGAAGAATTTATGTTTTCATCAAGTATGAGGACATGATTATTTTCCTTCTAGCTTTTCATTTGTGACAGGCAAGAAATTGGTTACCTTTTGACATACTACCTTTAGATTTAGGAATCCACTTGTAATATATTGCAGAATTTAGCTAATGTCTGGAGGTAACAGCTACAGCTGACATCAGGCTCTATTCTGTAGCACTGCATGTTACTGCAACCAAATTTCTTGGAACAAAAAGAGGTCAGAGGAACTGAGTATAGGAAAGTGATCACAAGGAAGTGATTCTTACTGAGGGTCCTTCTTAGCCTCAGTTATACCCTATCCAGTTGTAGATATATAAGGCAGTAGAAATCTTTGCTTATACTAAACATTTTTAAAAAGTCTTTACTTATTATTACTAAAAATAAAAATGTGAAGCATAATCTGGAAACAGAATGACACAAATACTTGGAAACAATTGCTATGTAGGCCAATTACATTAGGGCAATAAACATGAGCTTTGAATGCAGCCATAGAAGTATCAGCAAATGAAGTAGATGCCTTCATCCTGTAAACTAAAGATTCAGCCCAGAAATTAGGAGACTCAATAGGCTAGGTGCAAAAAAGCTGGGAGGGTTTAGCCTGGATCAGTCACTTTGCTGGCTGGACTCTACTGGCTGGCTAACCTTTTCAAAGAAAGGTTAATTTTATTTTTTCTTCAAAGCCACTAAGGCAAGTTGTAGTCAAGATTGGTTAGTGATTTAGAGGGTTTAGTGCCTAATTTGGATTCCTTTCTCCTAAAAATAGACCTACAGATGTTGAGTGTGTTATCGCTTATTATGAATTGAAATAGATGTACTTAAAAAGTATAGAATACCAGAGATTTGTTAGAATATAGCATTGTTTGTAGTTCATTAGACATAAGGAAAGATTTAGATCTAAGGCGTCTTTGAACACTCCATTGTTGCCACTTCTGTCATTCAACAAGCTCTTTTTGTATTCCTACTCGTTTTGTTTCTCTTATCAATAACAGCAGCCATACAGCAATCTGTAGGTTCAGCAAATAGCTTGTCTTAAAACCCTCCTTCACGGATACTTACTTTGTTGCACGATATGTGTATGTACTGGTACAAATTTTATATATCATCTTGTTATTAAATATGTAGTCTTTATTTCTTAATGTTTTACATTTATTGTAGAACATTTAAGGAGCTACCATTGGTTTAAAACTACATTTTCTTCTTAAAAAAAAAAAAAAGTGCTTGACCTAAGGCTCAAATGAGAATAGCCTTTTCTTTTTTCATGAATTACACAGATCTTGATCGAAAGATTATTAATAGTAACTTTCACTCTGTCAACAACTTAGTCTTTTTGAGTATTTAGGTAACAATAAATTTGCTGCCTGATGTTTACATTTATTTTTCTAAAGTGTGGTATTATAATATCATCCATTGCTCTTTCTTATCACTTCTTTCACTTCTTTTTCAAAAAATTTAATTAGCATGAAGCTTGCAGTCATGGGCACCTGAAGGTAGTGGAATTATTGCTCCAGCATAAGGCATTGGTAAACACCACTGGGTATCAAAATGACTCACCACTGCACGATGCAGCCAAGAATGGGCACATGGATATAGTCAAGCTGTTACTTTCCTATGGAGCCTCCAGAAATGCTGTGTAAGTAGTTCAACTTAAAAATTATTTTTAAAATCGATCTATATTCTTGAATCAAGGTATGTGATAAAGCAGAGACTTTAATACTCAAGTTGATGGCTTTCTTCACTTTCACAACTAAAATTAGATGTGATCATCAAATTCTGCATTTGTAATCGGCATTCATGCCCTTCCTCTTTATGATACAGTTGGTCCTTCATATTCTTGGGTTCCACACTTGAGGATTCAGCCAACCGCAGATCAAAAATAATTGGGAAATACCAATGACAGATCGGATAAAGAAAATGTGGTACATATATACCATGGAATACTATGCAGCCACAAAAAAGAATGAGATCATGTCTTTTGTGGGCACATGGATGGAGCTGGAGGCCATTATCCTTAGTAAACTAACGCATGAACAGAAAACCAAGTACTGCGTGTTCTCACTTATAAGTGAGAGCTAAATGATGAGAATTCATGAACACAAAGAAGGGAACAGCAGACACCAGGGTCTACTTGAGTGTGGAGGGTGGGAGGAGGGAGAGGAGCAGAAAAAATAACTATTAGGTACTAGGCTCAATACATAGGTGGTGAAATAATCTGTACAACACACACCTGTTACACAAGTTTACCTATATAACAAATCTTCACAACTTAAATAGAGACCTAAAATAAAATAAAAGTTAAAAAAAAGGGGGGGGAAGACAATAAAGAATAACAATACAATGATAAGTAATATAGGTAAAACAATATAGTATAAATATTTATACAGCATTTCATACTATTAGGTATTACAAGTAATCTGGAGATGATTTAAAGTATACAGGAGGATGTGTGTAGTTTACAAGTAAATACTGTGCCATTTTTTACAAGAGACTTGAGCAGCTGCACATTCTGACATCGTCGGGATCGAGGAACAAATTCCCCATAGATAACCAACGGGGATAACTGGCATATTTAGGGGAGATTTATTTTCTTAATTCAGAAACAATTGTCCATTTTGGAAGCCTTCACTTAATGGAAAAATTTACTTAGTGTTTATATTCTGTAGATTGATTTACACTTTCATAAGCAATTGTTGTAGAAATAATTATTTTGTATGCTTCCTAATAGTTTGGAATTATTTTAAATATTTCATTCCCATTTTATTTTTTCTGCATATTTACTATAACGACAGGTAAAGCATGTAATAATTTAAATATTGGGCCAGTGCAGTTGAATTATTTCTTAGATTTTTCACATCATTCACATGAGGTTCTAGGTAAACTTTTTGCAATATCAGGACACAGAGATGCATTAGTGAATGCCAGCAGCTGGATTTTAAAATTGGTATTATCAAGTGTGTCACAAGTAAATGCTGTATGTAGATTTTGTATCTTTAATCTGTAACTTGGTTCATGTCTCCCTATGTATTATTTTATTCTTTTCAGTTAATTAAGTAGTCGAAATGAAAATGCAGGTATTGCCTCTCTGCCCTTGTTGCTTCTATAGGTTTGAAAAGAGCACACAAAAATTAAGTTTCCAATGGTAACAGATGCAAATAAGAATTATAAAATGCAGAGCCTCTAGGTTGTAATTTTTTATTGGTAACTATTTAACATAATTGAAAACCAAATTAATAATGCAATAATGCAAACCATACCTTGGTGCTGTTAGTTTCAGTAAATGTGTCTATTCTCTTTTATCTCTCATAACAGGTTATAAGATAATTGGGGCAAATTCAGGGGATGTGTGTGTGTGTGTATATATACACATATGTATATACATATATATATACACACACACACACATCCCCTGAATTTGAATTCATATTTGAACATACATATATATATATTTTTTTCTTCTGGTTGGGGTGTGTGTGTGTGTGTGTGTGTGTGTGTGTGTGTGTGTCTGGTGTCTGTGTCTCCATATACATGGACCTAACAGAGATAACTATTTCTTTGTAAGGACCTAACCGATATGACCCTCCTGTATGTGTTGCAAGCTATTTGGTAAAGCAAATTATTGCTTGGGTCAGGTGAAACTGACTAGTTTTCATTCTAGGGTGCTTAAATCAGCCATGACTACTTTAATGAATAGAGCACTGGTCAGGGCGTTAGGGAATCTAGCTTTTATTTGTGACTCCATTATTGACTTTATAGCTTCAGGCAGGTTAATTTCTGTGCCTTGGTGTCCTCACCTATAAAACATGGGTGATGCCTGCTGCGTTTCTATTTCTTCAGAGCATAGTGAGGATTAATGAGCCAAAACACAGAGCCTCTCTTGTGGTTTGTACACCATGATTCGTCACTGCACTGTGAGGGCTTATTAATATACAAGGAGTGGCAGACAGTGAGTCTGCCTTCACAGGTGCCTTCAGTGTTGTTTTAAGTAGGACTACCTAGTAAAGTGGCAACTTTAGGTATATCTATACCTCAGCACTGTCCAATAGACCTTTCTGTGGTGATGGAAATGTTTATATCTATGCTAGACATTCAATAGCGACTAGCCACCTCTACTGTTGAACACTTGAAAATTAGCTGTTGCTACTGAGGAATACATTTTAAAATGGATTTTATTTTAACCACATGTGCCAGTGACTACTGTGTTGTACAGCTGGTTGATACAGCTGGATAGTTGGGAAGTAGGGTTTATTTCACACAAGACATTGGGATTGATATTGGATAAAGGATAGTAGGGCAGATGAAAGCATAGATTTAATCCTAGGGTACAAGAGTGTGGTAGCTGTTTCTAAAAATTTCCTTTCCAGACTATTGGTCTTCATACTTAAGTATTTTCCTGTGTTTTTTGCCTTTTAAAAAAGGTTGTAGTCATTGTTCATCTGATTGGCTTTACAAATTTCTTAACTGTTCTCCTCCTTTTCATATTACTTTTCTTTAATTCTCTTTCCATACTGCAGCCAGAGTGCCTTCAGAAAAACATGAGTCTGGCCAGATCATTTATTTGCTTAAAACCCTTCCATGGCTTCCTCTTAATGTTTTTTAAAATAAAGGTTAAACCCCAAAATATGGTTTATAAGACCCTGGATGGTCTGGTGCTACTTTCCTCTCTGTTCTCATCATTCTTTCCACAGCTTCTCCTTTCCGCCTTTCCTTCAAGCATTTTTTGCACCAGCTTTTCTGAATTTTTGTTTCCTTAAAATATTTAGGATCTTTTATCTCCTAGCCTTTGTACATGCCTTTGCATTGTCTAGAATATTTGTTTTTGGTAGCCAGTTTCTCATTTGAGTTTCACTTGGGTTATCCTGTCCTTTTGGCTGCCTTTTCCTGATGTGGTGCTTCTCCCCAGTCACAGGACTTACTGTTTCCTACCTTCTCATGAGGCTGTAAACTGTATGGGCCAGGGATCACGTCTGCCCTCCCTAGCTCTGCCAAGTGCCTAATGTAGTCTATATCCACATTTGTTTGTAGAGTGAATTCGTGTTTGAATGAATGAAGATTTTGGTATACTTTTTCCTGTTTTTTGATAAAAGGTCAGATGACATGAAAATGGGAATTGCGTCCTTCTGCCACTACCTTTACTGTATGACAAGATGTCTAAAACCAAATTTCCCTTATCTGTGCCTTTTCTAAGGTGGTCGAACTGGTTCCTGGTAGCTTTTGCCCAACTGGCATCCATGGCATGTTACTTTGTGTGGGATTGTCGCTACCCAAAGTAATTCCTATAGCCTTGACTTTTAAGTGCCTGCTTTCTCAGTGTTCTAGATACTGTCTTCTAGAATTAGGTAGTAACAGATGAGAATAGATGAAATTTATTCCTGCCCTTTCCTCCATTTCTTAAGAAGATCATGGGAAGGGGATCCGGAGCATGGAGACTATGGGATTCTTACTACTATTTTTTCTTCCTGAAGCTCTTATTCTTCATAAGCCATTAACAGCTCAGATTCTGAATCTGAGTTGGCAAACAAACTTTTTCTTTCTCTGCTTACTATATCTCTTTTACTCTTGGTGGAACTCCTTTCTCAATAAGTAGGCCTAAACTCTTCCCACAGAAGAAGGGTAAGAACCAGCAAAGGCAAACACCATTCTGTCTGACCCTCTTTAGGGTTTGCTACTTTGACTGATTGAAGAAGTAAAGTCCTTTTTGCTTATTGTAAATTTCTAAATGGCCTCCTTTAGCTCTAGGACAGACATTTTGGCTGTCTTCTTCATGCCCTCAAGGTTGAAGTTTTCTCTTAGATGCCTTCCTTTCCTCTTAAGTCTTCTCATAGTCCCTCCATTGCTCCTTTGCCTCATCACCTCCTCAGTGGTCTGGCTGCTTCTGTTCTAGTAGGAGTGAACAGGCTGTTAAAGCACTGATTATAGAATGGTGTGAGGCATGCCTGCATAGCACGGTGCTCACAGTAGTATGCAAGTCTCGACTAGGGCTGCAAGTAAGACCAGAGGAAGTCACAGAAGGCTTTCTGGAAGAAGAAGAACTCCGAGTTTTGAAAACGTAGAACAGGAGGATGGGCTTTTCAGAAAGACAAGATACGGGTGCTAAGGTACTCGAGGCCAGACTGCTGCTTCATTCGTTCTAGGAACTTCTGTTAGTGATGTAAGTGGAATAAAAGGATGGAGGAGGATGAGAGGCCAGAGAAGGTGGGCAGGGACTTTGAAAGGCTATGTGTGCTAAACAGAGTGCTGATTTTAAGTTGAAAATCTCCTCCACACTGGGGAGGGAACTCAGTTAAGAGGTTTGTCCAGTAATCCAGGAAAGGAGTGATGAGAGTCAAATCAAAGTAGTGACAGTAGTGGTGGGAGGGGGGTGGGATGGGGAATAGCCATATTTATTAATTTATTCTTTCAAATGATGTTTGATTTACTTTGTACTGTTTCAAAAATACCATATTAGGATGTTTTGAAGTTGGGTAAGTACATAGATTCTAGTGGAGTACCGATTAGGATGTTGATTGAAATTGGGTAAGTGTATAGATTACAGTGGATTAGTAAAGTTGGTTTTTATCAAGTGGATTGATAAACTTGATGTCGTGTGTTATTCTTTAAATGGATACATCAATTTGCTAGGTTTTTATTTAGGAA